GTAGGAGGCCGGTTCGAGCTGGACGAAAGGTGGATCTACCATTGTTTAACGGAGATGCGGCGTACAGCTGGATTGTACGAATGGAAAGGTATTCCATTTGAATCAGACTGCGGAAGAAGACAAGGTGGAGGTTTCTGTGGTCGCCATGGAGGAACGAACCCTAAATTGGTTCAAGTGGCGGGAACGCCAAGCAATGGTGGATAACTGGGAAGCGTTGAAAGAATCTTTAATTCGCACTTCCGACCAGAGTTAGTTCAAAATCCATATGGTCCAATGCTGAGCTTGAAACAGACTGGTACTGTAAAGGAGTACAGAGACCAGTTTGAAATGGTGATTGCACCTCAGAAAAGAATTGATAAAGGGATACCGAGGGGAATCTTTATCAATGATTTGACGGAAGAAATCAAGGCGGAACTCAAGCTCTACAATTCCAGATCTCTATCTCAGATAATGGACATATCTTGAAGAACTTCTACTGATATTAACAGACTGAAAATTCAAGAAGTGAAAAGAATATAAGGCCTGGATTATCACAAGAAGTATTTCAGGAGAGAAGCGGGAAGGGGTTATGCTTTAAGTGTGGAGAAAAATGGAATAAAGAACACATATGTAGAATGAAAAACTACAAATATGTGTTTACGGAAGATTCTGAAGAAGATGAAGAGTCTGAATATGTCAATATGGATACAGAAGAGGAAGAAGGAGTTGAAATGGAATCCAAAACTTTGCAGTTGTCCTTAATGAGTAAGGAAGGGATTCTAACAATGAAAACCTTCCAGGTGCAAGGAGTACTGAAGTGGGAGTCTGGAGAACAAAAAGTTGAGGTCCTTATTGATGTGGTGCAACAAATAACTTCATTACGGAGCAGTTAGTGAGAAGATGGGAGTTACTGTATCATAATCAAAGGATACAATGTGTAGATAGGAAATGGAGATATAAAATAACAAACAATGACAGATGTGAAAGGTTGAAATTGCAACTACAGAGTCTGGAAATACAACAAAACTTCTACCTTCTAGATTTAGGAGGAATAGATATGGTGTTGGATATGGAGTGGATCACAAGTTTGGGAGACATGGAGATTAACTTCCAAAATTAGACCCTTAAATGTGTGGTTCAAGGGCAAAAGTTGTGTATCCAAGGAGATCCCTCATTAAACCAGTTGGAAATTACTATGAAGGGGATGAATATCCTCTTGAATCAGACTGGAGAAGGATATTTGCTATACTATCTGGAGTTAGCTACTGAAGTAGAGGAGGCAAAGGAGGAAGATGAAATCTGGAAAGAGTTAATGGAAGAATTTCTAGAAGTGTTTCAGCCAATCAAGGAATTACCCCCTATCAGGACTTGTGATCATGGCAATCAATATACAAGAAGGAGCCACCATACCAAATTTGAGACCCTACATGTATCCTTATTACCAAAAGAATGAAATTGAAAAAACAATTCAAGATATGCTTAGTTGTGGTATCATTCAGCATAGCAACATCCCATATAGCAGTCCAATTTTATTAGTGAGAAAACAGGATTGGGGTTGCATTTCTGTGGAGATTACAGAGCGTTAAACAAAACTACAGTCCCTGATAAATTCCCAATTCCTGTAATTGAAGAACTGTTAGATGAGTTAGGTGGGGGTAAGTGGTTTTCTAAGTTGGATTTGAAGTTTGGATATCACCAAATAAGAATGAAGGAAAGTGATGTACATAAAATCGCATTTCGTACACATGAGGGTCACTATGAGTACTTAGTGATGTCTTTTGGTTTGACTAATGCTCCATCTACCTTCCAAGCATTAATGAACCAAGTGTTAAGACCTTTCTTAAGGAAGTTTGCTTTGGTGTTATGTGACGATATACTGGTGTATAGTAAATCTCAAGAATAACACAAAGATCATTTGAGAAAGGTGTTGTAAGCTCTCAAGGAAAATCAGCTGGTGGCCAACAGAAAGAAATGTTCTTTTGGAAAATCTCAGCTAGCATATTTAGGCCACATTATTTCTGAAAAAGGTGTGTCAGCTGATCCTAGTAAAATAGAAGCAATGATAATTGGACTGAGCCTAAGGATCTCAAGGGGTTGAGAGGTTTCTTAGGATTAATCGGATAGTACAGGAGGTTTGTTTGTGAGAGGATATAGCAGGATTGTTGCACCTCTAACTCAGTTGCTGAAGAAAGATAGTTTCAAATGGGATGTTAAGGCCAGTAAAGCATTTGAAGAACTAAAACATACCATGACTTCTCTGCCACTTTTAACAGCTGCAAATTTCAACAAGTTATTCTGGAAACAGATGCTTCAGGAAAAAAAATTGGGGGCAGTTTTGATGCAGGAGGGCAGACCCATCGCTTTTATGAATAAGGAGCTTTCTGTGAAAATCAGAATAAATCAGTATGACAAAGAGCTAATGGCAATTGTGTTGACGATTCAGAAGTGGAGACCCTACTTATTAGGTAGGAAATTTGAAGTAAATACAGATCAAAGAAGTTTGAAGTTCCTCACAGGGCAGAAACTCATGGGAGATGAACAACAGAAGTGGATAGCTAAGTTGTTGGGCTATAACTTTACCATTAAATATAAGCCAGGGATTGAAAATAAAGTAGAAAATGCTCTATCAAGGAAGCCCAATTTGCAGTCTTTATCAATAGTAACTTGTCAAGAGTGGGAAGGGTTAGAGGAGGAGCTACAGAAGGATTCTAATTGTTACTCCCTCTGTCCCATTAGAAGGTTCTCACTTTCCTTTTTTGGACGTCCTGTTAGAAGGTTCTCATTTTCATTTTAAGAAACAATTAAAAATCTTAATTGACAAATTAATCATTAAATATTAAAATAATACATTTATAACATCACAATTATCAATACTGACTACATTATAATATATACCTATTAAAATTACTTCTCAAAATATACTTGAAGTACTTTATTTAATTATTGCCTAAATAACCGTGCCGTTTTGCTACGGGAACCTTCCAACGGGACGGAGGTAGTATGATATTATTCAGAGACCACTCAGTCAACCCGAACAACTTCCTAGAATTCCAATTGAAAAAGGGGCTGCTTTATTTTAAGAAGAGGTTGATGTTGCCTAAATATTCTCCGAGAATAATAAGGATACTCAAAGAATATCATGATTCAGCTACAAGGGGACATTCAGGATATTTCAGGACTATGAAAAGGATCTCAAACCTCTTCTAGTGGGCAGGAATGAGGAGTGACATCAAACATTATGTACAAGGTTGTGATATATGTCAAAGAAACAAATATCAAGCTTAAAACCAGCTGGATTACTTCATCCACTACCTACTCGAGATCAGATATGGAGTGATATTAGTATGAATTTCATTGGTGGACTACCTAAAACACATGGGAAAGACACTATACTAGTGGTTGTTGATAGGTTGACCAAATTTACCCACTTTATAACCTTATCTCACTCATACAATGTCAAAGGTGTAGCCAAAGTGTTCATAAAGGAAGTAATGAAGTTACATGGATTTCCGAAATCCATAGTAAATGATAGGGATAGCATATTCCTAAGTTCTTTTTGGTCAGAATTGTTCAAACTGGTGGTACTCAGCTGAAATATAGTACAACCTACCTATCATCCCCAAACAGATGGACAGACTGAGGTAGTAAATAGATGTTTGGAGACATATTTGAGGTGTTTAACAGGGAAGAAGCCTAGAGAATGGATAAAATGACTGTCGTGGGCAGAATTTTGGTATAACACCAACTACCATATATCCTTAAAACAGACTCCGTACAGGGCATTGTATTGGCAAGAACCTCCCGCCGTCATCAAAGGGGATGTATCCTTAACTACCATAGAAGAAGTGTCAAGATTGACAGCTGAGAGGAATGTAATGCTGATTGAGATAAAGGAACACTTAGCTATTGCTCAGAACCAAATGAGGCAACAAGCTAATAAACATAGAAGGGAAGTTCAGATGGAAGTGGGAGAAAAAGTCTTTCTGAAAATTCAGCCTCATAAACTGAAAAGTTTGGCTAAAAGGATAAATCAGAAACTAAGCCTAAGGTATTATGGTCTGTTTGAGATCACGGATAAACTGAGTTCAGTGGCATCCAAGCAGAAATTACATGAGAGAGCTAGTTAGATAGGTAAGAGAATAAAGCTCAATTTGTTGGAGGGGAAAGCGGTTGTAAATAAATAGTAATTGGGAAGAAGAGGGAGGTTGGTTTTACAGTTAGACTTTAGTCTTGGAGAGCCCCGGCACAGGCGGCACTCTCGAAATTGCCAAGACTTTGTCCCTGTAAACTAGGGTTGGACTCGGGTCCGGGCCGGGTCCGGGTCGGGCCTAGGCCCGGGCGGGCCGGCGGTTCAAGAATGGTGGACCCGGGACCGGCCCGGGTACCCACCGGGTCCGGTCCGGGTCCGGGCCGGGCCTCCGGTTTGGTTTTTTTTTTTTTTTTTTTTTTTTGCTTTCCTAACCCCCCCCCCCCCCTCACCCCCACCCTCCCAAACACCCCCAAACCCATCCTACCCATCAAACCCAACCCAGGTGGAACCCCAAAAATGAAAAAAAAATAAAAAAAATTCAATTTGGCCCGGGCCCGGGCCCGACCCGGCCGGGCCGGTTCACCAAAATTGAGACCCGAGCCCGGACCCGCCCTACCCCCCGGGCCTAGGCCCGACCCGGACCCGGACCCGAGAACCGGGCCGGTCCAGGTCCCGCACAGTAGCGGGCCGGGTGGCCCGACCCGAGTCCAAGCCTACTGTAAACTCTTTCTGTGAATATTGAATAAAGCTCAGTTTCCTTGATTTCTTGTTGATAAGAATTCTGTAGATTTTGGTTCTCTAACAAATTTTGAATATGTCATAACTCTGGAGCAATTTAATTATAATTCATCCCTTCCCTTCTCTTACCTCCTAGGGCTAAACTTCAAAGCCTCACCCTTCCCCTAGACTCTCAAACATACCCTAAAGAAGTTGGTTTGCTGATTTAGCCCTCAGTTTAAGAGCTTAAGAATTAAGCTGGTTGGCACACAGCTTTACTTAAGGAAAAGAAGTCATCTCATTAAAGTCCCGCTGTTTACAACAATTTATTTTTCAGCAATCAAATAATGTTCCCTTAGTGGCTCAGTCAAGCTACAAATACAGGTGAGGATGCAAACATGTTCTTCAAACTTGTGTTAATGAAAGTACAAATTCAGGTAGAGGATTCCTGCTTTCTAAAAACATGAATACAGGTGAAGCTCTTTGTAAGAAGCAAAGCCTTTTCACTTCCAAATTTCTTTCAAAGCCATATAAGTTCCACCAAGAAGCTAATTTTATTTCTCAGAAGATATCGAACTACACTCCTTTGACTTCATATCAGCTGCACAAAAACTTCTTAACCTTTCCATTGCAGTTTGTATTTGATCTGATATGTTTGTGTAAAGATATCTTTGGGCTGCCTCATCCAGTCCACCCTCCACGGTTTGGGGCCACTGACCACTCAAAAATGATGAGCATCCGGAAGCTGATAATGCCATTTGTATCAACACAGGAAGGTTAAATTCCATTGGCTCGCCCACAACGATACTTATCTTTTGGTTGCACAAAGGAAAAGGTGGTCTTCTGCCAAACATATATTCCTCAGGCATGACCTGGAAGTAAGTAAATATTTTTAAGATGGTATCTTTATAAATTGTAAACAGCAATGCACAATTTGACAATTAATTAAATACCCAAATTAAGTTTCTAATTTGATTTCACAAGTTTTAGGCAAATAACTTTTGGTATTGACTCTACATATATGTAGCTCACAATTAGTGATATAATCGGAAAGGGAATAATTAATGTTGTAATCCGAAATATTACCAAAAAAGGAAGTGTGAACTTAATATAGAGATTAGAGACATTCCAAAATGGAAAGTGAGAGCTGTATTTGGGGTTGGAAGGAATACACAACAATATTAGCTTGTAAGGTATGGGAAATACTTCAAGAAGTTGTGCAGGGGCATCTTGTATTGCTGAATAGAGCGCCCACTCTTCATAGATTAGGCATACAGGCATTTCAGCCCATTTTAGTGAAGGGGCATGCTACTAAAAAAATAGTTGCTCACAGCAGTCAAGCAATTGTTACTTTCTCCTCCATCATCTTCAAGGTTAATTGTTAAAATTATATTGCACAAAAAACACTAGTACATCAATGATAATCCAAGATATGTTAATGACAAGAAAAGAAACATAGTATAAGATAGGGAAAATAACATATTTCGATCCTGAACTAGATAGTAGTTGGAGACACAATCCTCCAATTATAAAGTAGGTTGTCTACACGCATGGTGATTTGACATGGTTGCAGCATTTGTCCCTCCATATTATAAACTTTGTGGTTGACTTTCTAGGGTTTTTTCACATGAGTAGAAAGAGTCTGATAGAATGAATACAGTTGAAAACTTTCATATGGCTTATTTTAACAAACTAGTCCATTACTATTAGATTTAATAAAAGAGACCCTAAATCTTTCTAAATCACCCAATCGTGTCCTCAGCATGTACCTAATAGGGGGAGGATTCAGGCGTACTCCAAAATGTCCCACACACATTTATGGCCTGATAAGTCTGTATTTCAACACGCATTTTATGCGTGTTAGGATTGATTTTTATCATAAAGTGCATAATTAGCTCAAGTCACAGTACCTATTTTGGTTTTGCATTGGTTGCTTTTAGAGTTAAAGTCAGGAATTTGAGCCCGGCATCACGTTGGAGAATTTCTTGCGAAGAGTCGAGTCATGTTCAAAAGTTGTTGAGAGACATCGAAGGTAAACCAATGTACCCCAAGTACGTTGCATGCTCGTCATGATCTCCTACTGCACCCTCAAGTACCCCAATGACATCTACCTGCTCCTCATGTGTCTCACCCTCGTTCCCAACGGGATCTTCCTCAACAAGAACTCAACCTTCTTCATCGGTGTTATGTTATGAAAGTGAGGCGCATAGCCTAGAGAGCATGTGAAAAGAGTAATGTATGGGCAAGATGCTCTTTACCCGGGTATGTGTCTGGCGGTGAAAGGGTCTGACAATCAATCCTAGGTTAAACGGAGTTCCAGACATTGGTTATCCTCTTTGACTACGAGCTCTCAATAAAATCGCATCTTCTTTCTCGTTTCTTCTTCTTCCACCCACCCATCCTTCTTTGCCTGTTGTTCTTATTTGGATTCTTAAAATATCACCATCTTGATTGTTTAATATTGATACACACATTTATGTTGATATAAATAAATTCTTTTCACCAGTATGACTATATATCATACTAAATAACCTTTAATTAATATCACTATATTGATTGTTTACTATGACACATCATTGATCGATACACACCGACACACATAATCTAATTGGCGGTCATTAACTCTCAGTATGTTGAGAATTCTAATGGTGCTGAATACACTTAAGAGAAAATCAGATGATATAGGATGGACATGGGGAGAGAACAGAGACCGATGATTGATTTTCTTGAAGATTTAGAATTTTATGACTTTTGCTACTCCATCATTAGCATTTCTATCATTTTATTCATTTTTATGCATTTTAAGTCAATTTTAAGACTTATATTTCAATAATCTCGGGCACCTATGTTATTAAATTTAATTAATACAAGGCCGAGTAATCACCGAGTAATCCCGAGTAACTGGTCCTACTCGCTACTCGGCCCTTGACCGAGTTACTATCGAGTAGCGAGTTAACTACCTAGGCGCACCAGTAAAACACAACATCAAAAAAATTTAAACAAAACCTATAGACAATATACGTGTATGACTTAATCGCCAATTAAAGAGTGAAATTGTTAAATGACCAAAGAATTAGCAAAAATAATCCAAATCAAACCAACTTAATATCCATAACCAGTTCATGTCTAAAAAACTGAATTTAAAGTTTGATCTTTATAATCTGTTGACTAATACTCATGTTGACTAATACTCATAGTCATCCCCCTCCTCGCTCACGTCTAGTCATCAGACCCATCTTCCTTATCTGACTCAGATAAGAAAGGAATTTCTTCCTCATTCATTTCACTATCAGAAGGATCTTGTATTGTATCTTGTCATCTTCATCACGCAACTGATGTAGTGTTGATGTCGATGCTCTAATGTTGTGAGCTGATTCATTAATGTCAGCTGCTTCTTCCACAACATCCCAATTTTCAATTTCATTTTCCTCTGCAGTCTCATCAATTCATTCATTGCAATCCTCTAGACATATCTTCACTTTCTTAAAAGCGAGATCTTGAAGACGCTGGTTTTGCCGAATGTAAACTAGATCATTCATTTTTTTGGCAACAACTTTGTTCTTTTCTTGCTTTGGACCTAATATTAAGAGATAGTATAGTATATTAGTTAATCATTTATTATTTGTGGAATAAAAATGACTTGGCTGAGAAAACTTACATTCTCAAATGCGCTCCAATTTCTTTCACATCCGGATGCACTACATGTTAAACTCAGGATGCGCACTGCAAGATGTTGTAGAGTGGGAGAAGAGCCATTTGAAAGCCATCAATCAACTGCATTTCCCATATTTAGTTAAATAGATTAAATTTCATATTTATTTTGAAACTTGTATTAATAATGTTAATTAATAAATCAAGTTTTCGATTTGCATTGATTACCAGGGAGTTGTTTGTCTCGATTGTTGATGACCAACTTAGTCCGAAAGTTGCCTCTTGCACTTATGTAGTTAGAAATCTCATTTGAGAACTCTACACTTTCACCGATCTTTGTGGGTAGCATCTTCTCCATGCACTTGATAAATTCATCACAGATATCCGCATCACCCAACACACGTCGTGAATTCTGATAAAAGAATTGTGGATTTGAATAATATCCTGTGGCATGTAATGGAGAGTGAAGATTCTCATCCCAACGCTTATCAATAATCCTCCACAGCGGCTTGTATTTCTCTTCTCTCCCTCTAAATGTGTTTTTGATTCCGAGTTCTGCTCTCTCCATAGCTATATATATGAAACTCATGGGAGGCAAATCTCCATCCACAATTCTCAACACCTTCACAAGAGGCAAAGAAATCTTCATAACAAAACCCACACTTCGCCAAAATGTTTGGCGGTAAACTTCATCACAACATGTTTTGCCCTCTATCGTTTTCGTAAAGTCACTTTGGCGAATTAAACATCTGCCTCAAAGCGTGTTTTTGAGTGAGGAGGCTTTGAAGAGTCAAGAAGTTCGTTGCAAATCTGGTTGCGGCTGGTTTCACCAACTCCCTTCCGTGGGTGAATTCTTCCATCAAATCCAAAACAAGAGTATGATTATAAATGTAGGTAGTAATACCTTGGGCCGTCTTGACCGTTTTTGTTACAATTGAAATTTTCTTAGAAAAATCCTAAAGAATAAGGTCAAAAGAGTGTGCAGCACAACCGGTTGTGAAGATGTGTGGGTATCTTTGCTCAATCTTCCTCTTAACTAACCAATAATTTTTAGCATCATCTGTCACAACCTGTATGAGATGTGTGGCCCAATTTCTTGAATCCACTCATCAAACAACTTAAACAGTGCTTCACCGGTCTTATATGATGAAACATCAAGGGAACATAAGAAATTTTGGGAGTTGGACGGATGCACCATAATGTCTGATGCTTCGCAAGACAAACGACACAAAACTCTTATAAACTTTTGTGTCAACTCCATCAAGGGAACTATTTTCATGAAATTCATTGATGCTTCATCATATAAGAAGACTGTTGAAACTCTTTTTATGTTGTTTGAAGAGTAGATTTAAGAAATCAAGCCGCAAAGTGTGATACGGGTTGTCACAGATAATGCTAAAAATTATGAGTTAGCTAAGAGGAAGATTGAGCAAAGATACCCACACATCTGCACATCTGGTTGTGCTGCACACTCTCTTGACCTCATTCTCGAAGATTTTTCTAAGAAAATTTCAATAGTAGCAAAAACGGTCAATATGACCCAAGGTATTACTACCTACATTCATAATCACACTCTTGTTTTGGACTTGATGAAAGAATTCACCAATGAGAGAAAGTTGGTGAAACCAGCCGCAACCAGATTTGCAACGAACATCTTTCAAAGTCTCCTCTTGTGAAGGTGTTGAGAATTGTGGGTTGAGATTTGCCTCCCATGTGTTTCATATATGAAGCTATGGAGAGAGCAAAACTTGGAATCAAAAACATATTTAGAGGGAGAGAAGAGAAATACAAGCCGTTATGGAGGATTGTCGATAAGCGTTGGGATGAGAATCTTCACTCTCCATTACATGCCGCGAGAAATTATCTAAATTCGCAATTCTTCTATCCGAATTCACGACAAGTGTTGGGTGATGCAGAAGTCTGTGATGGATTTATCAAGTGCGTGGAGAAGATGCTACTCACGGAGATTGGTGAAAGTGTAGAGTTCTCTAATGAGATTTTCAACTACACAAGTGCAAGAGGCACCTTTCAGACTAAGTTGACAATCAACAACCGAGACAAGCAACCCCCTGGTAATCAATACAAATCTGAATTTAATAATTAACATTATTAATACTAGTTTCAGAATAAATATGAAATCTAATCTATATAACAAAATATTGGGAAATGTAGTTGATTGGTGGCTTTCAAATGGCTCTTCTTCTCCCACTTTACAACATTTTGCAGTGCGCATCCTGAGTTTAACATGTAGTAATCCGGATGTGAAAGAAATTGGAGTGCATTTGAGAATGTAAATTTTTCTCAACTAAGTGCTTTTAATTCGACAAATAATATCTCTTAATATTAGGTCCAAAGCAAGAAAAGAACAAAATTGTTGCCAAAATATGAATGATCTAATTTACATTCGGCAAAACCAGCGCCTTCAAGATCCGCCTTTTAAGATAATGAAGATACGTCTAGATGATCTAGAGGATTGCAATGAATGGATTGATGCAAGGAAAATGAAATTGAAAATTGGGATGTTGTAGAAGAAGAAGCTGGCGTTAACGAAACAACTCGCAACACTATAGCATTGACATCAACATCAACACTACATCAGTTACGTGATGAGGATGAGATGGATATGATATAAGATTCTTCTGATAGTGAAATGAATGAGGAAGAAGTTCCTTTCTTATCGGAGTCAGACGAGGAAGATGGGTGTGATGACTAGATGTGAACGAAGAGGTGGATGACCGTGAGTATTATTCAACAGATCATAGAGATCAAACTTTAAATACAGTTTTTTAAAACTGAGCGAAATTTTTTAAAACTTTAAATACACGGCGTGCGGTTGACCGTGGAGAACTCCAAACTTCTTCTGAAAAAATACCTCCACACGGCATGCAGACCTTCCAGTAATCCTCAATACTTCATGCACGGCGTGCTGACCTTGCATCCAAAAATCTTCAGCTTCTGCCACATCCGCACGACGAGCGGGGTCCTACGTACGACGTGCAGACCTCGTTTCGTGACTTTTTGTCCGTTTTTTTCCTACTTTAGCCCGTATTTGCTCCCATGCTTGATCCTTTAGCTCTCGAACATGACTCAACTCTTTGCAAGAAATTTCTCCAACGCCGATGTCGGGCTCAAATTCCTGACTTTATCTCTAAAATAACCAACGCAAAACCAAAACCCAATACTGTGACTTGAGCTAATTATGCGTTTTGTGACACATTTAAGTTAGAAACAATGATAAAAATAAATCCCAACACGCATAAAATGTGTGTTGAAATACGGACTTATCATGGCCTCATACGAGGAGTCCAAGCTTAGTAGCCTATAACAAATTTGAATTCTTTACCAACCAAGATACTAAAAATTAATGCACACAGAGCAAATGGGAAACGAGAACTTCACATGCATTATTGTATTTTAAAATAAGCATCAACTACCAAGTAAAATGAAATTGAGATGTCACCTTTTCAAAGCCATGATGAATGATTGGAAGAACTATTGGAGTTACAGGGGAACGGGCAATGAGACTGGCAGTACCCCACTTTAGTCGCCGAATGGGAGAATCTTCTTGACACACCTTCCCTTCTGGGAATGTATGCAACTACTCATTCAGGAAAAAAATGTTTAAAATCTTATTTAATGCATCAATTATAGGAACATATGCAACTAACTCATTCAAAACAAGATCAAAATCATACTTGATGCATAATTTATCCCGAATTAACTATCAAAATATAGTAGCAGATGCTCACAAGTGTCTTCAAATTGTATAAGCAGATATTTTGGATGCAAGTACCAATAAAAATAATAATAATAACATCAGCAACAACAAGATCAATAATGACAACTAAATACATAAAACCTATCAAAATGAGTAAGCATGTCCTTAATGTAAGGAAAGTACATGTCATTACAATAGTATGGATAGACCAAATTAGTGCATTCTACCAAGAGAAGGTTATTAAGTTAAAGCTAACACACATAAACTAAGACTAACTAAAATGTAGTTCTCTTCACTTCAACAGTGCAATCTAGTATGAACTGTTTGACAACTGGTCAGGTCAAAAGCTACCAGGCTCCTAGTAAGCTGGTCAGAATGTTCTGGTATGATCTGAACCTTTATGGTCCAATCGGATGTGATTTGATCTAAATGTTTCTTATATTGCCTTAGTTTTAAATGTAAAATATAACACCTGGTTTAGTCTAATCTGAATTTTGAAATCTGTTTTGTGTAGTTTAGCCTCAATCTTTTCTGGTCTGGTCCGATAAAGCTTAAATAAGTGATAAGAAGAAAAGAAGGTGAACATATAGAAATTAAATGAATCATTGCACCAAATATCATGTTAAGAGGATTTCACTTGAGGGATAACAGAAGAGCAACACACTATATAAGAGTAAAAAAATGAAAAAAAGTAAAAAGATGCAAAAACATGAGCAAGGTAAGAATTATCTATTCTATTTGGAATATCAGAAGATGCAAGGTACCAAATAAAATTGCAGAGTTCATGTCATCAATGTGCATGAGAGTTCCAGGATGATTCTGGAATCAGGAAACACATTACAAAGTACGAAAAATAAAGATACGATTGCAGGGAAACAAATTGAGTACCCAAGCTCCAGAACTCAAGCGATCAACTGCTTCATTCATATGTTCTTGATAAATTCCACCTCCTCTTGTAATGGGTATGCATTTTCCTGCATACATAACATCCTTAGAACTTACAGTCACAAATGCATATTCCATGCAATCTTCTAAAAGGCGTAAGGCGACTTGACATATTTCTCGTAATACGAAGTATATAATATTAATAATATTATTAATAATTTGTACAGAGTAGTGACTTGACATAGTTGGTGTAATGTTATTATGTTAGTGCTTCGTTGTACGCTTTTATCTTCAACGAATTGAGGCAGCCAAGCAAATTTCCCACACCGGTGGGATAAGCAAAATATCTCTTCACCCAACCTTATAAATTACCCCATGTACCGTCCTGACTTTGAAACGGATTGATGTTTTGATAACAGCATCTGCGAGTCAATTTTTTGAGGCTATTATAATTTTTTCGCCTTTTGGCCTGCCTAATGGCTATGCGAGGCGTTTTATAGGCGCCACACGCCTAAGCTCGCCTTTACGGCGCCTTTGGTCGCCTTTTAGAACATTGATTTCATGTACACTAGAAAGTAAAGGATATAAAGAAACGGCAATCATAATGACTAATTACTATGAACCCAGCAGCACCAGCAGCACTAAAAGTAAATGTGGAAAGTTCTCAATACTTCTGAGTGTCACTAGAATCAAATCCAGATGGAAAACACTGTTGCATTGCGATTTGAAACATCAGAAACTATATTTGACTCTAGATTTCAACCCACACCATCAGTGATCCAACTAACAAACTACCAGCTTCTACTTCTATTCCAATATTCTCACCTTCATTCCCAAGCCAGGGAATAGCTGGCTCTATACCTCATTCTCCTACTATTTTTAATCTTTAACTTCTTGAATTTAATCCTTCCGCTCCTCCAGCACATGATAACTTACGCTCTACAATCGCACGCTGACGCTCTATCCCAGGTCGGATCTTTTAAGTTCTAAGGGAGAAAGTACCCAACTAAATCAACATGCTATTTGAAGGTAAATCCGTAGTTCCAGGAAAGAAGAGATTGATTGTCTAGAAGGAAGGGAAAATGCTAGAGATTTTCATTCAATGTTTGGTCATTAGTCATAACAGCATTTTGATTTTCCGGGCCTATCAGTCTGGTCTTACTACTAAAATTGATGAACTGATGACAAATGCATGCATATTCAAAATATTACACACCAAGGCGAAAAAAGTAAGAGAATACTGTGTTTGTAAAGCATATATCTTCAGCAGTCAATACCCATCTTGCCAATTTCGCATCACAAGTAGGAAAACCTTTGAATCCCCACATTGCAGGATCATCCAACCTGAAAATGTCGAAGTGGAAATCTTAAACGATGTATTACAAAATAAATAAATAAAATGAAAAGACCCAAAAAACGTAGTCCTAAACTCGTTCGAAATTGCGAACTTTGGGAGACGTATTGAAGTATATGCGGAAACTAACTAAGGAAACACCGGAAAGTGGAAAGTGAAGACTGACTGACTGACGTAGACATGTGATTGCTGACGGTGATGAGAGGAATTCCGGGAGGGCGAGAGCGGACAAGGTGGAGGAGGGTGTCGGCGTTGTGGACGGTTGTGGTGTTGATCAGATTGGCCACGGCCTTGGCAAAGCAGCCTACAGCCGCGATAACCACCTTTCTTGGCACGCCGCCGAGGTGGTTTGCCCTAGCCGCCCACTCCATTGTCCTCATGCCCATTTCTTTGTGCTCCGCAATTCTGCCCCAATCCTTCCCCTTCAGTTTTACTTTGTGATCAGATGGCTCTTCGCCTAGTTAAAACAATGCTGTTTGCGGTGTTAGCTCTATATACTGATTATTACACATACTGCAGTTAAAATAGAAAACCTTCATTTGCAAAATAAAGAAAGCTTCCTTCACCAACTATGGAATTCCACACCATTAAAAACAGTCAAAAATTCGTTTCAAAAAACGTTGACTTTTAAAAAACGCGCAATTACGTATATGTGTATAATACAGTATCTGTTACAAAAATTCGGACAAAAAATACAGGTATTATTTTGAACATTTAAATTATATACTTTACAAAAGAACATATATAGTAAAAGGAAATAAAAGTATACACATATTCAAGTAGCAAATCTCATTACTACATAAAAGAATAATTCGTGATTGCATAAGTCGATGACAAAAATAAAAATAGTAATTAAGTAGAAGACATGATTTTGTAAACTAATGGTCAACAAATAAGACATAAAAAAATAGATTGAGACTAAGTTAAAATGATTATCTTTATATGATCATCAAATAACACTCAATTTAAATTCATCATTTTCATCAAGATGACGGATGACATATGTGAATGCTACACGCGCTTCTTATTGTTTATGTGTAAAAGTTTATACTAAAAAAATGTCACGTTCAGCAAAACTCTAACTTTGACATGCTTGTTTGAAAAAACATCAGAAATCTAGTACTCTGTAGTATTTTAAGTTTTAGTCTTTAAGAATGTTAACTTTAGCCGCGATGCAATTAAATTTAGCATTTAATAATTGTATTTTAGCAATACAAAAACATGAGGTCACATGGAGGAGCTTTTCTTTTTTTTTTCCTTTTAAATTATTGTTGATCCCCTATATATTCATTTAATGTGTTCATTCTATTCATCAATTCATGTTTTTATTTTTTTGTAAATTAAGAGATACAAGCTTAAGCCATCATGCAATTAATTTTAGTATTTAATAATTGTATTGTAACAATACAAAAACATGGGGTCACAAAGAGGAGCTTTTCTTTTTTGGTTTTACACTATTGTTGATATCATATGCATTTAATGCGTTCATTCAATTGATGTTAGTCCCAATATCAATCAACAATCATACAAACAATATAATGAGTACAGAAGAAACGATGATCCGATTCAATACCAAAAAAGATGTCGCAATACACAATAGGGTATGAACGGCGTTTTTCTCCCTTCTCACTAAAAATGATATGTGCGATGAGGCTTATGTGAGAGTTAGGGTTTATCTTAAGTTTGCATCCTTTTATATAAAAGGATGTCTACTTAAGACTTACAAGTGGGCTAATGGCCTGAAATACATTTGTGGCCCATATTACACATCTAAATAATTACTACACAAATACAAAGATATTTAATTAGATTGGACACCATAAAATATTCCCAACAATTTCCCCCTTGGTGTTCAATCATGTTCAATCAGCATCGCAGCATGGATATCTTTGTCTTTGTGTTTATTCAGCAATGTAGAGGAGAGCATAGATAAAATCTGTTGAGTTGCTCCTCTTTTGTCTTGATCTTCAGTGGAACTCATCTTCCTTTGTCTTTGTGTTGAACTCGACTTCTTTAGAGGGCTTTCTGAAGAAATCCTAGCAATCTCCCCTTTGATGTCTTCTTGTCAATTTGATCTTAGATGTCGGGGTTGAGGAATCTTCAGTGTCTTGCATGTAGTCGTTGCCTTCTAGAAGTAGCTCTTGATCAGCTTGAATGAACTCCGGTGGCGCCTCTAGAATGATGGTTCTGATTGTTTCCAGGCGCGCACGGGATTCATCTTCAGTACGCGAGTATCTGACCTTTGTCTCCTCCACAATGTAGTCTTTTTGACTATTTGAATTGAATGCGTTTGAGGAGACCTTGTCGGTGGCACAGCGGAAAATGATGGTTGACTTGTGATTGTAGTTGTCCATTTGATTCGAAGCTTTCTTGGTAGTCTTGGTGCTTTGAGAGAGTAGAGAGCTGTCGTTGATTTTTGTGGTGGAGGAAGGAAGTGTCCGAGAATGATTTTTTGAGAGTAAACAGCATGTGGACCACTCTCCCCCTCATGACGATCCAATGAATCGGGGCGTCATGCCTTTATTTATTCTTTTATTCTAAGAAGCAAAACAGAAAAACAAACAAAAAGAAAGGTAAAATGATAAAAACCGGATACACTGAGGTGTTCCGTTATCACAACATCAATGTAAACACTAATGTGTGGCCTATAAAAATGATAGAAGCATTAAAGCTCTAACAGGACTTCCAACCAGTCATTGTGAAGCATCTAAAGTAGATGTCACTCTGGTTGTTATGACATGATCATAAAGATCAGCAAAGATAACGTAGCCCCCGGGGTCGTGTAGACGCCCATTATCATCACTATAGAGATAAACTCAGAAGCGATGGCCTCAACATGTTGGTGATTTCTATGTTGCAACAACAGGACTTCCTTCTAATCATTGGTCTTCATCTATAGTAGATGAGCCCTATGGAAGTTCTTGCGGGTCATGAAGACCTGTAACTGACTCTAAAAGGTGTCTATGTCCTAGAAAATTCAAAACATTTGGGAGTGAGATAACTAGACACGACGTGATCAATGAATGTTCAGTGGCGTGGGGCTGTGGGCCACTGTAGTCAGTATCAGTCGCCTCAGAAGGAGACGGTGATAAGAGATGAGGTTCCCCGTGAAATATGATTAAACACGTGTCTGTTGGGAGACACATGAGTGGTCTAGAGTAGGGTTGTGCATGCGCCGTTTGGACAAAATGCAGCGACTTCTACCCGGGATCTGAATCAATTCAGTCCTGAACCTATGAGGATTGTCCAGAGTGTTTGAGTGACTGGGAGTAGTTTTCTCCTGCTCACATGAGCCTTCTGCTTCCTCACTCTCATAGTGTTCACTCAGTTACTCACCTACTCTCGGTTGTGTCCCTTGGGTAGGCTTAGTTGGGTTTACTAAGCCATTGGGACTTATCTCTCATTTCTCTTGGCTCTTTTCTTTTCAATCTGTGCTCCCCCTCAACTGGAGCACTCAGTAGGATGCCTTTGATGATGATTGGCGCTTGGAGGAGAACATTGAAAACTCCCCTTCAAAATTTGCATCCTTGAGAGAATTCTTGCATTTTACATTTTCTACCATCAGGAGAAAAAATAAAGCCCCCCTCAAAAGTTGCAAGTTGTGTTGTTTGTTACCCAGGGAGTAAAGTAGAAAACCCCCCTTGGAATGTGCTCATGTTGTTTGTCCTTGGCATGTGTTGGTGTTGAAGTGTGCATTTCTTGATTTTCAGCTTAGTAGAGAGAATTCACGCCAGTACTCTCCTTGATAATGTGCACCTTTTGATTGCTCATAGCTCGTCTTCATACCCGCCATGTGTGTGGAGCAATCGGATCAGTTACCACACATGACGGACCGTCAACACATATTAAGTATGTTTCGGTACCCATTTTCAGATGGGTCCTTCCTTGGAAGCAGTGAACAACTCTTTCACTTTCTGTTTAATCTGGGATCCTAAGCTAGCTGACTAAGAGGAGTTTGACATTCTTAATTTTTTAGCTTCAGTCTTAGGAACCCATTTTCGTTTGAGCTTGGGTGCAGGAGAAGTTTCACTATCAGTGAGTGAATGATCAGACAGATAATCTTTTAAGCTTGGTTCTCGAGAGAGTCTTTTCAAGTGATTGAGTGAGTGAACCTTGAGGGGATACTTTAAACATGGTAAATGATACTCCCTCTCAACATCCACTTTAGCGGAAGCTGATTTCTTAGGAATTGGCTGATCATTCACACATCTATCTTTCATGGACGAAGCAACGAATTCAGAGCAGCATACTTTTCTAGACTTAAATTGGTTCCGAGAAGAGGAACTTGAATGATGATTCTGAACGTACATTTTCTTCTTACCATAGAACAGAGCACTTGAAAAACGACTTCTGTTCCTTTGACGAGAATCTTCTACCTGCTTTCTTCTTCTCAACTTCTCCTCAATCCATTCTCCTCTTCTTTCCTCTCTTCTTTCCTCAGCCATTTAGGCCCTCGGTTGATGCTTCCTTCTGAACTTGGGTAGCTGTCATGGGTTGACCGAGGGCCAAAATTTTAGGACTTAGAATATTTTTCTAAGTGTAGTTTCACCACTGAGCCATCGGTTGTATGTTGAGTTGACCGAGGGCCAATCTTTTCAGGACTTAGAAAATCTTTCTAAGTGTAGTTTCACCACTGAGGCATCGGGAGACAGACCCCTTTAGATATATGATCTTTAAGTTGAATATGCCTTAGCATAGACCGGAGGCCCATGCTTTTGGACTTAGGATAATTTCCTTCGGACCCCTTCTGCGATTGGAGCCCCCGGTGTTGATTGTTTGGGCCAGAGGCTGTTGGAATGTGGACTTGGCCATATTTTGGTAACACTCTGGTGAATAGTAGCCTTCGGAATAATGGCCACCGTCAAAAGGTGATATTCTAAATAAGAGCCTTCAGGCACCGGGAGTATTCCCCTGAGGAGCCTTCGGTATGGTTTGGATTGTCTTGTGAGAAATATTGTTGCTAGATGCCGACGGGTGTTTTGTTGTAGGTGTTGAAACTTGTACTCATTGATTGCTCGTTGAGTCTACTCCCCTTCACCTGTTTTTTTATAGTGAAGGGAAGGCTTCAAGAAACTTGGTTTCTTGGTAAGGCTTGGCCTATCGGGAGGCAACAGTGTACACCATTGGCTCCCCCCTCGGGATTAACCTTCCGGGTTCCAAGGGGATCGAGGGTCGTTTCCTCGGCATGAGACATAGTCTGTTGCCTGCCTCCCCTTGGGGGATGGCACAGAAAGCGCCTCAGTTTTGAAAGTCTTCCCCTCAGCACGAGACATAGTCTGTTGCCTGCCATTCCCTTGGGGTAATGGCGCGGGGAGCGTTTCGTTTTGAAAGTCGAATCCTGAGGCATATTAGTTGCCTGCCATTCCCTTGGGGTAATGGTGCGGAAAGCGTTTCAGGGAAGGGTTTTATTTGCATATTAGTTGCAAATGACTGGGGGCACTTGGTGCCGCCGGGACC